AATTACTAATTATAATTATTTATAAACACTTCCATTTGTGCTTCAGTAGAGTTGGGGTGCTCCTATATGTAAAATATAAACTCTGCCACATGAATCATTTTCTAATTGGCCCATTACTATGAGAGATTGGCCTTATGACTAATAGATAAGTGCAGAAGGTGTAATGGGAAAGGCCAACACAAGAAGTCAGAATTTAAAGTGCTGAGCAAATTGTTGGCGCTATATAAATCCTGTATAATAATAATTTGCATATAAGAGGATTCCTGGTTTCAGGGTTCACAGGTCACCCATAAACAAAGTTGAAGGTATGTTCACCTTTAGGTACCTCTAATTTTTCATGTAACCCATTTATTAGACATTAGAAAGTGACGAGTACATATTAAATTTGTATTCAATATATCATTTTTAGAAACACTCAGTGATGAAATTGCATCAATGCTTGGTTTTGAAACATTCCATTAGAGATAGAAAAAACGATTGCTGACAGAATGTTGCAAAAATGTGAGAGAAGTGAAGAGGTATGTGCAGACTGTCTGGAAAAGGCAATAACACCATTTTATCTAATCAGACAGTTAAAAATCAGCTTTGTTGCAGATGCCACACTGGCTTGTGTGAAAGGCAGAACAGAAGTGTTTTCACATCGAGTGATCTCTTAAAATCTTTTGGCTAAAATGAATGGGGAGTTTATTTTCCTTTCCAGACTTCACTGAAAATTAGTATTAAACCACACCACACCCTATTCATGTCTTGTAGAATCTCCAACAAATGTTGAAATACACGTCTTTCTGACTTATCGTAATATTCCTCACATTGTCAAAGCCTGCAGACCTTCGGGGATTCTTCGACGTGCATGTAAGCTTTTCATTTAGCGTTTACTGCAGCGTCCTCAATTATACTCGACAGAGAAAAGGGACTGCATTCTTCAGCACCAAGCTTATTGTAGTGTCATGTACAAATTCTCAATATGAGGTATATTCCATAGCATCGGGCTAAGGAATTTCACAGCTAAGGCTCAGTAGAGAATCTATTCTTAAGGCCTACAAAGCCACACAGCAAAGAGCTTTTTATGTGCACACTGTACAGTTGGAATTATGAAAATAGAAAGTGAGAATGACAGAAGGTGGGGATTTTTCAGTTTATTATTGTGTGCCTGGCCTAGCACAGAGGAAATAAAATGATTTCCAGGCATGGGTACATGACTGTGATATCTGTGAGGATTTCAGTGACTAAAGCCACCCAGACAAAGGGGACGATTTAGGAAACTTGGAGTTAGAGTTAGTTGGATAAGACAGCCTTTACAGAAAGCACCTAATTACCTGTCTAACTCCTCATGGCCTGAAATAATCTAAACTTGCCTATCACATATCTAATATAACCTGTATCCCATGTCTGCAGGCTTCCCCCAGGGGTGTAACTAGAAATCTTAACTACCAAGGCAGTTGACAAAAGACTGAATAGGACGCGGTGGTGATATTGAGGTAAGCACAGACCTGTGGAAGGGGAACGTGAGTCTTATTCAGCGAGGGGAATAGAGCAATAGGATAAGTGTACAATGTTTACATGTACACTTATCCCTTAAAGCTAGCCTCTCACTGACCTAATGTCACTAACAAGGAGGTAACCCAGAATATGGAACATATAGCATGATATACAAAATTATATTGTTGTATTATTTGTTGTGAGTAAGGTAATATATGACATGGCATGACACACACAGCCATTCCAGCAAGGTTCGTTCCTTAGTCCACATGCTTCCCATGGCCCTATTTATTCACATATAGGTAAGTTGTACTCTGCTGTACTCAGGGGCATATCTGCCGCGAGGCAAACAAGGTGTTTGCCTCAGCCGGAAGATTCCAGGAGGGTGGCAAGAATGTCGCCCCACAAAACATTTAGGCAGACGGGCTGCACAGAAACCGGCAGCCTGGCTGCCTAATGTAAACAGGGAGGAAGTGGCGGGTGGGGGAGCAGGAGGATACCAGGGATGGAGCGGCAGGAGGCTGAGACAGAGGTGATGGGGGCGGACACGGAAGAGGCGGGGTGGAGACGGAGGAGGCGGGGATTTGAAGACACAATGGAGGAGGCAGGGCCTGGGACCAGCTCTGGGGGGCCCCGCAGGAGGTGAAATGGGCCTGGCTGCGGGGAGGAGTGCGGGCCCCCGGGGGTCCCATCTGGAGGAGCTGGTGCTGGAGAGGGCCGACTGCCTGCTGAGCTGCGAGAGGCTCCAGCTGGGGCAACCTTCCTTCTACCTACTGACCCAGGAGACAGAGAAGATCTTCGAGAGGGGGTCGCCCTACAACTACCTGCAGCTGGTGCACTACAAGGTGGGTGCAGGGGGGTGAGGGATGCAATGGTCTGCAACTGGGTAGGTGCAATGGTCTGCAGGGCATGGGTGAAGTGGTCTGTAACTGGGTGCAATGGTCTGCAGGGTATGGGTGAAGTGGTCTGTAACTGGGTGCAATGGTCTGTAGGGCATGGGTGAAGTGGTCTGTAACTGGGTGCAATGGTCTGTAGGGCATGGGTGAAGTGGTCTGTAACTGGGTGCAATGGTCTGCAGGGCATGGGTGAAGTGGTCTGCAACTGGGTGCAATGCTCTGCAAGGTATGGGTGCAGTGGTTTGTAACCAGTGCAATGCTCTGCAAGGTATGGGTGCAGTGGGCTATAACATTGTATGGTAGCAATACATCATTCTGTAACTGGGTGTCATGTTTTCCAATGTATGAGTAAAGTGATGTGTACGTGGGTGCAATGCTCTGCAGAGAAGGGGGGCAGTGGTGTGTAACTGGGTGTACATGGTAAATAATCTGCAGGGCCTGAGTAGATGTTCCAAAAGAAGTCCTCATCGAGTCCTGGGACAGTGATGGAAGAGGCGGGAGACATCGCCGGAGCTCCAGGCGGGCGGCGAAGATGTGACGATTGGGCACCGAGGCAACGGTGGAGGCTGGGTTTCCCGTGAAAGGTAAGAGGACTGTGCTGGCAGGGCCGGCATAGATTCTGCACAGCCCACAAAAGAGTCTCAGGTGGGCTTTGCAGGATCTATGGTGGGCTCTGTGGGGTCTAAGGTGGGCAGAGCCCATTACAGATCCTTCACAGTCCCCCTGAGACACTGCAGGGCCTCAGGGGGGTGATCTCAGTCACAGTACAGTTATCCTTTAAAATGTTACAATTACACAATTACATACATAACTCAATGAGGTTGATTTTCTAAAGGAATATAAACTGATTACTTAGTAAATTGATTGTACACTGCGGAAACAGAATGTTCAGTTAAATAGTTACATAGTATTTGAGGTTGAATAATGACATAAGTCCATCAAGTCCAACCTATTGTGTGTGTGTGTGTATAGGTCCCTGAGTCATCTCATTCTTACGAGTACCTATACCCTTTTACATTATGGTCTCTCAGGAAATCATTCAAAAGCTTCTTGAATGATTCCAGACTATTTGCGGAAATCACTGCTTGTGGCAGCGAGTTCCAGACCCTAACCGCGCGAACTGAGAAGAACCCCTTTCGCCCCTTGTGTTTTAATTTTTTTTCTACCAGTTTTAGGTGGTGGCCTCTAGTCTTAGTTACGGAATAAATCTTAAAGAGTTTGTTGATAATGTTGCTATGACTATTGAACATTTTGTACATGAAAATCATGTCCCCCCTTAATCTCCTTACTTCCAACGTAAACATATTTCAATTTAGTAGCCTTGTCTAATAGTTCTGGTCCTCCATCCCCTTTAGGAGTTTGGTTGCCCTCTGACTTTCTCCAGCTCAAGGACATCCTTTCTGTGTACCGGTGCCCAAAGTGGCAAAATTATAGACTTGTCCCTGCAAAACATTCCCTTCTTGATGCAGGACATGATTCTACTAGCTTTGCTTACAGTAACCTGGCACTGTAATCTATTATTCAGTTTATGGTCTACAATGACCCCCAAATCTTTCTCTATTTCCGACTTCCCTAGCAGCATACCCATAATTGTATAACCCATTTGCCTATTTTTAATTCCAAAGTGCATAACTTTGCATTTATCGACATTAAACCTCATGTGCCACATAGTTGCCCACTCCCCTATTTTATCCAGGTCCTCCTGCAATGTTATACTATCTTGGTCTGTTTCTATTACCCTCCCAATTTTGGTATCGTCAGCAAACACTGTCGCTGTTTACTCCGTCCCCGATGTCGTTAATAAACAGGTTGAAAAGCATGGGTCCCAGCACAGAACCCTGAGGCACACCGCTAATGGCACTAGCCCAGTCTGAAAGGGCACCATTTATTGATACTGTCTGTACACGTTCCTTTAGCCAGTTCTCTATCCATGTACACACCCTTCCATCTATGACCATAGACCTCAGCTTGTATAGTAAACGTTTGTGTGGTACCGTATCAAAAGCCTTTGAGAAATCCAGATGTACCACATCCACAGACCACCCTCCATCCAGATCTCTACTTACCCCCTCGTAAAAAGTCAGTAGGTTAGTCTGACAGGAACAGTTTTTCCTAAACCCATGCTGATGTCATTAACTATACCATTATCCTGAACAAATACCAAGTAGTCCTTAATCATTCCCTCTAACAGTTTACAAACAACCGATTAAGACTAACCGGTCTGTAATTCCCTGGTCGGCATCTTACCCCCTTTTTAAATATTGGAACTATCGTAGCCCTCCGCCAGTTAGCTCCGCCAGTTAGCTTAGTAAATAATGTAAAGCTATGTTCACATCAATCATCCAATCGTGTGCATTACTAGAATCCTTTTTTTATATTACTCTTGCATATGATTGGGTATCCAATGTGAACAGAGCTTCACCTGACTCACTATTTGAGCAAGCACACGTTAAGCTAAGTGAGCATTGCTAAGTGAATAAATTACTCCTTTAATCAATCAAACCTAATGCATCTAAAAACAGACATCAGTGATCTGAGGTAGCCTCATGACTACAACAGCAAAACAATATCGAGACTTCAGCTCATGCAATAAACAGCAGTGGAATCTAGAATGGAAAGGATTACCTTTTTTGTCATCAAAGTATAGGGTTTGCTGAGCAGGATTTGACCACTGGAGGGAGGTGTTATCATTTTGATCCACTCGACAGGTTAAGTTAACCGTTCCTCCTTCAACGCCTGTAACATTCCATGTAACTGGAAACTGCCCTTGGGTCACTAGAGGCAGAATAAGAAAACACAGCTGACATGAGCCAAGGATGCAATAGACTGTATGTAAAGCATCAGCAACATATGGGCTGAGAGACATACAAAAATCAAGAGAAAACAATGCACAAGGAAATAAAGGAAGACAATCAATTCTGCACAAGATTTCTTTGTTTCAGCTACATATAAAAATGCATTTGATCTGGGCCTCAGACTTAGGACCTAACATGCTTTTCATTGTAATGAGACTTTGATCTCTAGGTTAGCTTTATCTGGGATTTCTGGCATGAAGCATTTCATTACATGAGGAAAAATACACATTTCTGTATGAATACAGGGCTGCAAGGGAAGTAATTCAGACATGTCACCATCATAAAATAATGTATATACAGCAAAATGAACAAACACTGCCTACAACAAAACTGTTTATTTGTTTACTCTGGACTGAACAAGAAAAATCCAGTAACTCATAGTAACTATTCAGCAGCCATACTGCATTGCTGAAATTGTGTTATACACAATTATGATTAATTACTATAAGTTTGAACCATGCATGTAGCTGTAATACTACGTCCCTGATGTAATATGTGAACGTCCCCTCCTCTCCCTGCAGATGGCCATTACTAAGATGGCCGCCGGCAGGCGTCAAGTAGATGACCACGGGACGCCCCTGACCCCATCCTTTGTGGCAAGTGTCAGAAATGGCAACCCATGCCTAGATATTATTACTTCAACACCAACAGTCATAACGATGATAGTAATAATTATATAGCGCTGCAGGAGGAGACCGCCGTGAGCGGACGGTGTCTCTCCTCCCACACCGCTCAGCCGCCTATCACAGTCCGGCAGAGTGGTGTGGGGGCGGAGACAGCCCACACTGTCACATGAGGCTAGGCTCTCTTCCGTGCACTGCTCGCTCAGCCTCTTGTGACAGCAAGTCAGAGAGGAGAGTGAGAGCAAACACTCAGCGATCTGTGATCGCTGAGTGTTTGTAGATAATTGAGGGTATGGTTACTGTATCCTCAATTATGAATGAATGGGAGTGATCTACATCACCTCCTGTTTATTCATGATTGTGGTTAGTGTAAACATACTATGTTATCAATGAACAGGAACACTCATAAAGGATTCCTGTTCATTGATAACTAGGAGGGCCCTGCCCGTGAGAGCTTACAATCTAATTTACAATTATTATTATTATTATTATTATTAATGTTTTACAATGCATTTGCTACCAGGGCTTGCAAGAGCTACTGCTACTAATAAAATATGAGTTCTGCCATTTCTAACATTACCTTCTGAAAATGCTAGTTGCCTGGCTATTTTGTTGATCCAACAATCCCTGGGCCCCTCTCCAGAAGGCAGAGGTGGCCAGACAAGTAGTATTTCCAGAAAAAGGCCAGCAATAGCAGGCTACATTATTTTCTTCCTACACTTTAAACAAATCAAGCAGTCATAAACAAAGCACCTACATAATAATACTTTGATAGAAGAAGCTATAACCCAAATTAGTATCCTGGACACTACACAAGTACCTCATTGCAGTTGATTAAAGGAGTAGGGAATGCTCAATGAGCTTTGTAAATAAAATCAAGCTGTTATACACTATGAATACTCAATTATGTGAAAGGGATCTTATAGAAGAAAAAAACAAACACAATTATACTTTATTTTCTAAGCTTGAAGAACAATCACCTTGAAAGGTGAAGAGTTTCTACAGTTTTTTTTTTATTCTCCCAGGCACATATTGGGTATGCTAATTGAACAATAATAATAAGCTTCACCTTCTTAACTAAGCTAAGTGAGAATTTGCTACTCCTTTAGTAAACCTAATCCAATGAATAATTTTATGTAAATAGCGACATTGCTAACAGGCACAATGTATGTATGGGAACAGCTTCTTGCACTAGAAGCCAGTCACACAGTGGGTTTGGCCTTTGTAAAAGAGTCCCTTTATGAAAATGCCCATGATTTGTTAATATGGAGAGATATTACAGTTTTACGGAACAAAATTATCCTTTACACTTAAAATGCACTCTAAGGTTTATGAATTGGAATGTGTTTAATTACTGTAGAGTATGCAAAGGCATGATCAAAACAATTTGATTCAATGTCCCTAGAGAGGGAAGGCTCTTGGTAATTAAAACATAATGCTAAGCTGCTACGCCAAAACATTTCAGTTTGTGTAGAAAGTAAAAGCTCAAAAGTGTCACTGGGGTACAATAGTCAGATTTCATCTTACCCTGTTTTTGATTGGCTTTCTCAACATCCCAACACTGGGGATGAGGTTTAGGTATGTCACTACCATGCGTTCAAGGCAAATCCTGTATGTTCGTGGTTCACAGACCTGGTGAATTTTGCTGAATTTCACTGGACCCAATTCCTTGTAACCATAATGCACTGTACAGCTTTTACGTCAATAAATAGACGTAATCGATTTATTATTGGAGTGCCGGTGTCTATTTCTTTTCCCCCCCACACACACACACACTGTAAAAGGGTATACAAGCCATTTGTCAGCATTTGATTAAGTAGGTTAGGGGGAGCTGATAATCTCTGTAGGGAAAGTTAGTAGCTATACTGTGGTATACTGCACAAAAGTACTGTCAGTTGCATAGTAATAGACTAGATATTCTTGTGTACCAAGCCCCCATGTTTACAGCTCAGAAACTCAATAGCCATTTTGAGGACTACCTTATTCTGCTGTAGTTGCTGTTTAGTTGCTGACCCCCACCCCTCTGTAGTCTTGTTTTTTGTTTTCTTTTCTTTTACTTTTGATTACATATTATTTTATTTTCTGCTAGGTTAAAAAAATTGGGTTAGGATTAATGCTTCTGGGTTATGCTTTTGGGAGGTATATATATATATATATATGCTATAGCTGTCATTAAATTTAGGCAATCTTCAGGCCTAAAGTGAGGGGCAGTGGTTTTGTATGTGGAGGTAGTAGGGGGTGAGTAGGTTTAGAAGTACAAAGCAGTGGTCAGGCCACACCATCTAGAGGCAGGGCGCATCTGTCTTTACTGTCTCAGAATGACCATGTTATTCAGTACAGCCAAAGCACATGTAGAAGGTAGTTGACAAGCTAACATAGCTTTTCTGTTCTTCCATCTCCCAGGCACAGGGCACCTAATTGTCTATAGCTACTGATAATGTGCCCTCTTCTTCCTTCTCCTCTTCTAATCCCAACATGGCCCTGCAAACTGGTGTTGAGCTGTTGGTGAAATTATTTGATCATGATTACTGACTTTCTGCAGGAGGATGATCTTGGTCATGCTAAAGCATTCCTTTTTCTCAGATACTGGGGATCAGGAAGATGATGTCAGGACCATAGATGGAGGGCTCATTAGGCAGGAAGTTCACTTTTAGTGCCTGCTACTATATTTTATATTGGCACCAGACATCATATTTTATTATAATTTATAATAGTTTCTAAAGGTGGTTTCCACAGCTGCATTTCAGCTGGCTTTTTTTCTAATGTGCAGCCTATTCTGGTGCTCAGACATTGTATCGGTGCCATGCAATGCTTCTGCAGCTGTACTTTAGTTGCCAAATTTCTAATGTTTTCTGCAGGGTAAATCCTGCATTGCAGCCTATTTTAGTCCTTGTCTACCAAACTTTTACCTGCTGTTTTGCTATCAATGTTTTAAAAATGTTGGAAATAATTAGGGATACAGGTATGGGATAGTGTTCAGGGAATGTGGGGTCATGTTTGTTAAGTGTTTCTGTGAACTCTGTTTTGACATTTGATTAAATATTTCATATAAAATAAGTTTAGAAACTACACTAATTTGTGCTAAGTTAAGGACTTTAGCTTTATTTTTGTAGGAGTAAACTGCCCTATAGCATTAGATCTGTTGTGGCTGCTACTTCCAACAGACAATTCAGATCAATTACTGCTGGATAAGCATTTAATTCAATGGCGTGGTGTTTTTTTCCATGTTACCCTTAAAGTTGTATAAAAAGGACTCTCTCCTTGCAGTACAATATTTTAAAAAATGTTTTGCTTTGTTAAATGTCCCCTATGGCAGTACCCTAGCTCCCTATGCCTTTTTATTGACGATAGCTTGCCTATTAGGCTTAACAATGGCTAGACTTTAGTGTAAAAAATTGCCCCCAATAGACTTCAATGTGGTTTTCCGCAAAGTTCGGGTTTCACAGATTTCAAACAGAATTGAACAAATCCTCCACAAATTGAACCCGGGCAGATTCATTCATTCCTACCCAACACCAGAGACAGATTGAAGACAGCAGAGAGAGGCAGTCCTAAAACAGTAGCAGAGCAGAATACTGACAGATATATATTGCTGCTTCACTTGTACATATCGTTTTACATAATATAAACTTATAAGGATTATGTGAACTGTAGGATAAATAACCTTGCATGGTACAATTATTGCTGAATTATTAATCTGAATTGAATTAATGAGATAACTATTCATCAAAAATAATTATATCTTTGAATATGATGGCATATGAGAGCCTTCTTAATGGTAAGCAATAAGTAAAATAACAAGATTTATGATTCACTATTATGCAAATCTCAACTTCACTAAAGAACATTTAGGCACAGGTCACCACCTTCCATCTCCTCTACCTAGCTATTGGACCATTAACGTGATTGGAAGTCAGCCCAACTAAAAGGTAAGTGCAGGTTGGGTTAGCAGGAACTCAAGTTTGTCTAGTGAAGTTGAGATTTGGATAATACACCGCCAAAGGTTTCAGGTTCCTGGGGAGCTAGAGCACTTGTCTTCAAAAGGTATCTAAATTCAAAACCTCTAGGTTTTGTATGAAGTAGGGAAGGGTTAAAACATCTGTCCTGTTTCTAGTGTTTTCTATCTCCATTATGGCGATTTAGTCCGTCTATTTGTCATGGAGGCTATTGTCACTGGAAAAATTCTAAACTGTTGCGTTGGAGATTTCCTCCATTTTCTGTTGTATCTATGAGGAGGGATATCAAGGAAGATTTCATCCAATGGGACACAGAAGACAAAAAGAAAAAAAAAACAAGA